TTCTTGTTAACTCTTCAGGCAGATTTTTCTAAGGCTTTAGGCTGTCATGTACTGATCCATACTCAGCTAAAGATTGGAAGGGATCTTTTGCAAATCTCCAGAGCTCCCTCTTTGTGCTGCTGTCTCCTGTCCTGTCCTCTGCCTGCAAACTCTAGCTGCCTTGGCCTCACTGGACTGCCCATTCCATCTCCCTAACTCTGGGAGTTTGCTGAGCTTCCTCAAGGTTTTTGGCCATTTCTGAGATGCAATCTAGAGGTTTCCTCCAGACAGTATTCTGAGCAGCCACAGAGCTCATCTTATTTACCCACCTCTCAGTACTGTCTTCCACTGCCCAATATTCAATTTCTGAAACCATTGTTGCATAAATTTTGTCTGTTCTTTCCTTCATTTTAGGTAGGAGGGTAAACCTGGACCCTGTTTGGCTGGAAGTGGAAGTTGAGATAGGTTTCTAACATTCCACAGGCAAGGAAATTAAGACTCAGAAATGTTCAGAAATTTCACCAAGATCATTCAGCTAGTTAGTAGTAGAGACAGAATTCAAAACCAGGGCTTCTAAATGCTGAGTTAAACTAACTTCTAAGTGCTCCATTATACTACACTGCTTCCAACAGAAGGGATTAACCACAATCTGTCTTTTAAATACGCTGCTCCTGCTGCTAAATTGCTGTAGTCGTGTCTGACTCTCTATGACACTGTGGACTGTAATCCACCAGGCTTCCCTGCCCATGGGATTCTCCAGGCAAGAGTACTGGAGTGTGTTGCCATTTCCTCCACCAGGGGATCTTCCTGACCCAGGCATTGACCCTATGTCTCCTGCATTGCACACAGATTACCATCGAGCCACTGAGGAGGCCCATCTTTATTTAAAATACAAAATACAAAATACAAAACAGTGAACTGAAGCCTTCACTAACAGAAACTAATACACCAAAAACGAAGATTATCTTATTATTTTTGAACAACTTTAGAAGGGTCTGATACTTGTCTTATTTTATAATGGCGTCATTATTTTTTCTTATAGTTTAGTGTCTCTATTGTCATTCTGCCTGTGGGAAATATCTAGGATTATCTCCAAATGGTGGGAAACCTTGCCTGTTTTAATGATCTAAGACTGATAAGCTTTCTATTGGAAAGTTCCCATCTGGCTCAAGCTTCAGCTTCTGAATTTTCTAAGGATGTGACTTCTTTGCAAATGTATTGGAACTACCTTTTACAAAGGAGTGAAAAATAGTTCTAAACTACATAAACATGATGAAATGAGAGATGTGGGAAAATGTATGTATAAATTCTCACAGTTCATTTTGGTTACTTTCACTACAAAATTCCATTTAACATTTTTCTGAAATAGTAATAAATTTTTGAATGGCAAAACATATGGCATTTGCATATGCCAAGTGCAAGATATTTAGATAGTGAATATTTGTATGTGTAGCACTGTACTACCAGGAGGTTCTCTGTTTAATGAGAAAGAACACTTATCCTTTTACAAATACATGAATGATAAATATATACTGATACATGTATATATCTATAAACATAGGTAATCTGTATTTGTTGTATTTGCAGTGTATTTGCAAATAAAACATTATGCAAATAATACTATGCTACATGCAACTTCTCTTTTAAATGTGTGAGAAGCTGATTTCTTACAGCAACAGTAAAGCTAAGCCCTAAATGATGATTCACACTTCTTTAAATCTTTTGATTTTAATTATATATGCATACATAATGTTAAATACAGTTTTACTTGCTAGTTAATCATTTAGATTATTTTTAATATTAGAGGAAAACAAGACTATATCGGGATTCCTCATTATAGAATGCAATTAACCCATGAAACAAATTAGAATATAGTAAGACAATTATCTCTTCTATTATTTACATGAAAAAGCTTAGTTCAGGAAGATCAAATAACTTGCTTAAAATCTAAAAGGTGAGGAAGAGCTAAGGGTCTAAATCTTAGTCTATATTCTTTTTTCACACCATTAGTTTGAAATATTTTTATCAAAGATAACATTTGATACACCATATTTTGTTGTTTAGTTTCTAAGTTATGTCCGACTCTTTGAACCCCATGGACTGTAGTCTGCTGGGCTCCTCTGATCATGGGTTTTTCCAGGTAAGAATACTGATGTGGATTGCCATTTCCTTTTCTAAGGGAGTAAGTCCCTGATGCACCATGAGAAATCTCAATTTTAAAACAGATAAAGTACTATTTCATTAGTATATAATTTACTTTTATAAATCTAAAATAAAAAATAAAATAAAATAAAATAATTTATTTATGAGATAATTAGTGAAGACATTTTAATAAATATTTGAAATCAAATGTTATGAACCACAGTTTCAGTCTTTGATGATCTCTACTCAAATATCCTGTGTATCCTTGTTGGATTTGCAGAGAAGAAATCCCTTATTTATAAAGACAAGCCATTGTGTATGTAAACAGCTCTGTTTAAGCAGCACACCTCAAAATTTCAAGATGCCCTTCAGTTAAACTGATCTAGAGACATGAAATATGAGGAGAAAATTTTTGTTTCTGTGTTGATTATTTAGGATATCTGAAAACTACTTGCACATTCCTTAAATTAAATTTCTCAAACAGAATACGATCAATACTTCCCCATACGTTATATATTATGATGATACTGCATGTGTATTATCAATGACCTTTCCTCAGGTCCAAGGAGGTAAGCTTGCATTGGCTTGCCACTGGGAATAAATGAATGTGTATTCTGAGCTTATTATGTTACATTTGATATTATTTTCATAGTCCAAATATCCTCATGACATCTTTTTATACTTTTAAAATCATCTTTTCCTGAATAAATGCAGATGAGAAGAGATCTACATGTTCCTGTCCTTATTTCAATTTTGTTTTGCTCTTGACTTCACTTTTCTTTACTCTCTTGAAATGAACATAATTTCTGGTATTTAACTTTGTGATTTTCATCTCTCTGTTCAGATCCTCATTAGACCTTGTCTTTGCTCTTCCCAGTACCTTTAACTTTTGATATATTTCATACTTTTAAAATGATGAGTGACTTAAGACTGCTTCTCCACCAAAGCACACATTTCTCATTATTCAACGAGAAAAAGACATTAATTTCTCAAACACATAGAATTAAAATTAATTAAATCATTATATTAATTAATTATATCATGTTCCTTGAAGAAATGGTCAAAGGAATGGAAAGGTCAGGTTGAAATTATATTTCTTCAAGCTGATGAAGTGTTTTTAATTAATAGGGTCCCTGGTTTACACTCTTTATCTTTTATGTTTCTCATTGTTCCATCCTTGATTTTGATAGTTTTCTTAATATTAGTGTACTATTGAGTATAGAGCAATAATGGAGAGAAAAAATAGATTTGTTGTACCATGGGCTTCAAGACTTGCATGACAGTAAGATCGAACTGACATTTATTTAAAATAAGGTTTGCCTGACAACATATAGAAAAGAAATTTGAAGATGGATGTCAAGGACAGTAAAAGGCAGTGAAAACATATTTAATAATTATGACAGTAAAATATATATCTAGTATTAGTTGTACAGCTTTTAAAAACACCTATTATTCTATTATTAGAAAGTATAGACAAAAACTTGGAAATTTCAGAATTCAAAACTCAAGGACCTGAATACTTGGATGCTATTTCAAGATAATAAAGGGGATTTATTGGTGTGAAAATGTTTATAAAAAACAAGCTAAAACTCCTTTAGATTTATGATGTCAATGTATATTCTATATATCATAAAGTATAAATTATAATACTAATGAGCCTTCACATTAAAAAATTAAATTCTCATAGTTAGGGTCTTTTACTGTGTACAGTGTTTTCTGTTTCAATTCTAGCAGAGCATAAAAGTCTTAACGTCAAGAACATTACTAAAATATTTTTAAGGAAGTCATTGTTATTAGTGTGGCTCATACACCAGTCTACAATGGGGACACAACTTAAGGTTTGTGACGAAGACAAACTTACTGAATTCTGAATTTCAGATATGTGACGGCAATATCATGAAACCAGTTCCATGGAACAATTATCTTATGGCTCTAGAATTGCTGAGTATATTCATACATTCTAGACTATTTTTAAATAGAATATTTTTCCATTATACATAGTCAATCTCTATTTCTTCAGCTAAAATCACTATCTCTACCATTCTGAGTGATTACTAATAAATAACAAAAAGTTTTAACATCTCAAAACTTAAAAAAGTTTACAACATGTATTATAATAGCAAAGGTAAGCTCTATCAATCAATAACAGATATACATTATTTAGCACAGGATAGCATTAAAGATAGATTTGTAATTGTAATTTTAACATTTTAAATGTACAAGTGGAATCATTGTGTGATTGTTAACATTAGTTGCTACACTATTGATCATCAGGAAGGATAAAATATTTTCTTATTGATAACATTCATCTTATTGCAGAAAAATGCCAAACATGATAATATGCTATAATTATTACCAGTTAAAACAATTATTTTTGGACATAATTGCAGCAAAATGAATATATATTTAAATTTAATTGTAAAATCTAGAGAATATTAGGTATTACGAACTTACTATAGACTAAAATATTCTGCAAAATGTTTTAATTTTACTCTTGTCAAAGTTTTGATCTTCCCTACTTTTAGCCATTTGACTTCAAAAACTTGATTTACTTGCATTGGATGGTGATTTCAAGGCATGCAGACTCCAAATTTTGCATGATGTTACTAGGAACTTGAGTAATCTAAATGAGCACACACTTACCTTCTCTATTATCCTTTTCTTTATGCATGTGATAAATGCAATGCTTTCATTATATATATATGTAATATGATATATAATACAATGATTATAACAGTGTAATATATTTTAGTATAATATTAAGAACAGAAATTTACATAAAAGGAAATGCAAAAAATTAAAACGGCAATAGAAAATACTTTCAGGACCAATAGTAAAGTTGTCAGCTTGGTCAAAATGTTAAACAAAAAAGATCCTACCTGATGAATCAAAGGTCACCTCATTACCCGGACTTGGACCTACATCAATGGACACCATGGGTAAGAGCTTCCGAAAATCCCACAGCTTTGTAACTCCACAGGCATCACAGGATGCTATAATGTGACCCTTTAAAGTATTAAAAAAGAAGTTTTATATATATACACACACACATGATACTGCTCTAAAAATATATATAGAAACTCAGGCCAAAAGAAAAGATTTTCTATTACCACTTTATTAAATCCACAAGAATACATTCCTCTAAACTAAAAAGTATTCATTAGACCTTTGTCTTCGACACAAAAGTATTATAAAATGAAAATATATGTATATAAAATCCTATATCAAATTTTGGAAGATGATTCTCAGGAAATCATTTTTTAACTTTTAATTATATTACAAGATGTAATAAAACAGAACTACACACATGAACGTGCATACAATTTGTCTATATATACACATAGCTCATATATGATATGTGATTTACATATAAAAACTACTTATACACGTAAAAAAATTGCACTAAAGGCATACTCCCTTCACATGCTTGTAACTAGTTAGCACTGACAATTTATATATCAGACTAAAAATAAAAACAGAAGTAGGAAAACAAATGGACAGGAAAGAATAATTTTTATCATAGTGGGTAGATCACTGGAACCATGTAAAATTGATGGCAAGGAAGCTGTGCCTATTGTGGTCTGTTAGACAAAATTATTAGAAATAATTTTTTAAAGCCTAGTCAAAAATCAATCCTTCATTATTTTCTTTCTAGATATTCTAAGATGTTAAATAACTTGATCAATATATAATTTCTCTCATTATTTTGAACTAGCTCACATACTTATTCCTCATTTACTCCTTGATTTTTACCCTTTTTGTAAAAAATGTGCATCCTGTATTAGAATCCAAGTGGAGTGTTTCCCTAAATATTCCAGTAATGTAACAAATGTCATTAGTTTTAAAATTCTGTAACTGTTATCACTCACAATGCAATATAACAATCTTTTATGCTCAATCTAATAAATGGAATATTTAATCTTTTTTAAAAAGAACACAAGGAACTTGGAAAGTTTTCAAATATGTACACATGAAAGAATTGTGAAGAATCAATGAATTTAATTTTTAGAAAAGAACAGTTATCAGGATTACATGGAATATTAAATGTTAAAAATTATAAAGAACTCTTTCCAGATATAAGGGCTTTCAAACGCCTTTTAGAAGTCACAGAATAGAATTTTCTTTCAACTTTGAGTACAGAATAAATTTTAATCAGAATTTAATTTGGAGGAACTTCTTCTCAAAGTCAGGTTATAGACTTCATGACCTTTTTTTCTCTAGATTTTATGACACAAAGAAAATCATAAAATGTGCCTTATACCATTGAACATTAAAGTTTTAGAAACTATACTAAATATAAAAAATAAGTTATTTAATTGGTTTTAGTATTTTCATATTTCATTTTTACTGCTGTCAATAAATTTATAACATTTTGATAAAATTAAAATAATAGTCAATACTTATTAAGGGTTTTTAATGAACTAAATGTTGTGCTAAATAATTTATTGATAAAAATAGATTCATTATTTTAAACAATTTTGAATAACATCATTTAGCCAAACTTTTCCATTTCCAAAGGAGCTTAAAATTCATGACAAAATATGCATTATGAAAAAATAGAATAACTTGTAATGTGGTACAAGTTTGCATTCAGATTTGATAACCAGGAGACAGTTGGTAACTACACTTTCAGTTAGAAGAGAGGTAATGTAGTGCTTATCGGAGTGCCTGGACATAGGAAAATTAAAAAAAAAAAAAATTAACCCAATAGATGACAAATGCCTCCTGGGTGTTTACCCAGAAGTTTTAAAGTACTTTTACACTGTTCCTGAGGTTCTTGAGGCCAAGAATCCTGGAGTGGTTTGCCATTTTCCTCTCCAGTAGACCATGTTTTGTCAGAGGATTGAGGGCAGGAGGAGAAATGGGTGACAGGGCATGAGACGGTTGGATGGCATCACTGACTCAAAGGACATGAGTTCAAGCAAACTCCGGGAGATAGTGAAGGACAGGGAAGGCTGGTGTACCATCGTCCATGGGGTCGCGGAGACTCAGACACGACTTTGTGACTGAACTTTCACACTAGTCTTAAGGTAATATTTCTTCTAACCTTAATAGTTCTGAATCAGCTAGCCAAAAGAAATAAATAAAAGGTGCACAGAATCCAGAACAAAAAAAGGTTGGAATATCAAGATCCTGTATTCCTTCTCACACAATCTGAGGTGAACTGGAATCATCTGCCATTCTCCTACAGGTCAAAAGAAGTCATTAAATTATTACCAAGCCAAATCACACACTGTGAGTTTTGAGGAAAATGAAGATAGGGAGTGTGGAAAAGGGTTTAGTTGACAACCTGGTGAAAAAACATATTTTATCTATAATTTATGTCAGGTAAGAAAACAAAGACTAGCTTCAGTTAGGCAATTAACCTAACTAAGAAATAAAGATTTCAAAGAAAATGTTTTTTGTTGAGGGAGGTAGGAATTGTGACCATCCCAAAGAAAGTATAAACTCAAAGAATTTTGGAAAATTCTCTAAAATGTAATTCTGGTTATGTCACTGGTACCAGTGCTGATACTGAGAAGGAAAGGTAAGAAAGATGACTGTGTTGAAACCTCTCAAAGAAGACCAGATTCAGGCAGGTGGCTATTTATATGACACTGGATCTCCGGCACCTGGTTTAGTTCCTGTGACATTTGGGATTTAATTTTGATTTATGGAGTAAATGAATATAAATGGAGTAGAGTAATCAATGTTGACCATGTGAAACTTTAACGGACTTTTGTTTCTCAAAATATGGTAAATGAGCAGAAGCCCAGAAAGATACAATAGTGTTTTAGCCTTTATTTTTTTTTTTTGGGTGTGTGTATTTATTAGTTTTGGGATTATACACTCAAATAGTAAAATGAAGCAAGTAGAATTTAGAAAATGGACAAAGGATACAGTAGAAATTAAAATGAATAGCTATGACTCCTAAATGCCCCTATTAAGCTTTCTCATCTCCACCTTAAAGATCTTAGTGAGAAAATCCTTATAGATGTGAAGTTAAGTTAGAGTATAACAGTATAAAATCAAACTAGCTTTACCTAGGCTGCTGGAAATATATTGGAGAAATATTTAGCTGTACATATCAAGAGTCACAAAGGTGTTCATACTTTTGAAACTTGTAAGGTTACTTATTAAAAAATGGAAACACATGAAATATGTAATAATCTAATTTGGAAGAAATAAATCTTGTGCTGCTGCGGATCCTGAAAACTGCTAGAGGCTCCTTTTACACAAACTTGTTACCAACAATGACAGGAAGAAAAGCAGACTGAACAGCTATCTCTCAGCACAGATGGCTTCAAACATATTTATATATTGTAAAACAAAGACAAAGCAAAAATTAGCTAATGAAGTAATTTATAATTTAAATGATTAATTAGACTATTTTCATAAATCTATAGTATTTCTTCACATAAACATATCTTATGGCTTTCTATAATTTTCAAAAATAGATTTTACAAGTTTGGTCATTACTCTAAGTTTGGGTTAGGAGGATATTTTTCAGGTAGTGTAAGAAATGCCATAGAGTAATAAACTATTCTATATGAAACTGCTTATATATTTATATTATGTTATATCAAGAAGAAAAACATAGATTCTTAATTTGTTATAGAAAACAGAGGTCCAATTTGATTGTACTTTGAACCTCCTTTCTGATAAATCAGCTAAATCAGATTAAGAATTCTGTTGGTTCAACTCACTATTTCTATACATATTCACATATACATATGTATATATAATATATGTATATATATATATATCTTTATTTTTACCATCTTTATTTGGAGTGAATATCAGAATATCTAAAGAGGAAAATATTTTTAGGTCAATGACATTACTTTTTTTGCACGTATCTTCAAGACTGAAGAAAACAATACATGTAATTGTTCTCTTCTGAGAGTTATGAAAAATAACAGGAAACTAAATTAATGATTATGTATCAATTATGTACACATGAGAGTATTATAAGCTCTTTAAGAATAGGTACTTTGGCTTAACGATACATTCCCATGATCTTGAACAGCGCCTAGTAAATGTTTTGCGAATAACTGCCGATTGTATAAATAAATAACCAATATGAATTACTGTGGTGTACTGTGCTTAGTTGCTCAGTTGTGTACGTTCTTTGTGACCCCATGGACTGTAGCCCGCCAGGCTCCTACGTCCATGGGGGTTCTCCAGGCAAGAATACTGCAATGGGTTGCCGTCCCCTCCTCCTGGGAATTTTCCCGACCCAGGGTTCGAACCCAGGTCTCCATCATTGCAGGAGATTTTTACCATCTAATCCACAAAATAGCAATTACAGAAACAGTGTAGACATGGGAAAGTTGATGCTAAACTGTCGTTAAACTGCTTGAAAGTATACAACAGATATGGTACAGTGATTGAATAGGGAGATGTGTTTATAAAAAGTTGCCCTATATATTTCTTAAGACTTTATTTTTTAAAGGTAGTTTTGGCTCATAGCAAAACTAAAGGGGAAATAGAGAAATTTTTATTTATCTCCTGCCTCCACACACACATAGCCTCCCTCATTTACAACTTCTACATTGGAGTGGCACATTTGTTACATTTGATGAACCACTACTGGCACACTATAATCACCTCAAATTCCTAATTTCACATTACAATTCACTCCTAGTGTTGCACATTCTATGAGTTTAGACAACTGTACAATGACATATACCCTTCACAATGGTATCATCAGAGGATTTCTCCTAAGTATCCTTTGATACTCAGCCTCTTGCTGAGAGTGAAAGAGGAGAGTGAAAAAGTTGGCTTAAAGCTCAACATTCAGAAAACTATGATCACGACAACCAGTCCCGTCACTTCATGGGAAATAGATGCGGAAACAGTGGAAATAGTGGCAGACTTTATTTTTGAGGGCTCCAAAATCACTGCAGATAGTGATTACAGCCATGAAATTAAAAGACACTTAGTCCTTGGAAGGAAAGTTATGACCAACCTAGACAGCATATTAAAAAGCAGAGACATTACTTTGCCAACAAAGATCCATCTAG